TTTTTTTATCAACACTTGAATATAGGTAGGTTTCATAAAAATGCATAATTGAGCAAAAAGGTGAGAAAATCTAATTACTACATCTGGGTAATATTCAGTACGATTATCAAAGCATAAATCCAGTAAATCGCTTCTATCAACACCTCCAAAGCTTGCACAGACATATACCACTTCCTGAATCAACATTTTACTCCGTGACATTATGCAGTTTTCATTTATATGCTGCCATTGCTGATGATCGCATTATTTTTCAAATGCATCTGTTTACATAAGAGATCGCTTGTTTCTCCATCCTGTACACATTTGTTTTTGTTTGGTAGGTTTTGTACTCGTTCAGAAGATGTGTAATAGTGCCCCCTATTGTATAACAGTGAAAACACGAAAAGCCGTAAAAACTCGTCTTTGGCGGGGAAGCGTTTTCAGTGCTTTTCAAAACTGTCCTGGAGCATCCCAGCATTGTCTCCCTCATCTAACACACCCCATTCAACTCGTCAGCTCATTAGTAGAGACTTTAAACCTGAAGTTTGTCAGAAAAGGTAAAGAGTTGTGAGAAAATGTTGCGTGTCAGATTGGCGTCATGTTCAGCAGCAGCACCTCTTAAAGCAGCCAAAATAACCTAATAACCCAACTGCTGTGATGTCTGTTAATCAAAGAACAAAAGAAAAAAAGAGGAAATCAATAACTTTTGTAGCTTTAAGGATTCAATTGTTTAATTTAGAATTTAGTGTTTGGTAACTTTATTCTATTTCTGTATATTTCCTGCTTGCTGAAGGGCACAGGTAAATATGACATTTATTATAAGGGGTTTATTTGAGGATTGGTTTAATTGGTTCACTTAAATTAGAAGTTTTTTTTTCTTCTAATAAATGTTAAATAAATGTTAAAATTTAAAGCTATCAATTATACTGAATAATTCTGTAATGTTGAATGCCTATAGTTAGTGGTTAAATATTAGGGGAAATAAAAAAATTCATAGAGACATCAGTAGTATCGGTGGATTGATGGATGCCATTAAACAAATGTTAAAAAATGTACTGCCTTTGTTTTTTTTTTCTACATTAATTTGAAGACTGAATGTGAAGTTATTGCAATATAAAAGTATATTTAAAAACTTTAATGTTAGATGAGATTAATCGCAATTAATTTCAGAAAAAAATGTGTGATTTTAATTTTTTTTAATCATTTGATTGCACGACTTTTTAGTAAATCACTTGATTTGGGTAACAAAATTGGTCTGAATCATTTGTTCATGAATCTGAATACGGTTCTCTGTTTATTGATCTTATCAATGAATCACTTGATTTGAATTGGTCTGAATCATTAGTTAGAATCAGTCATTAGTTAATCTAAGTGATCTGGTGATCTGGTTCTTTTGAGTCCTATCTTTTCAGTAAATCAGAGAAGAGAAGATTATCAGTGAATAACTTGTCTGTTCATAACAGTTATCGTTTGACTTCAAAAGACTTGGAATATAGCGCATGAGTCATGATGCCCATTGTTCTAAATCAATTTCAGAAAGTCTTGCGCTGTCCCACACAGTTGAAATGATGAATTAACCTTAATAGACATTCATCACGTTTTTTCAGCTGAACGACGCGACAGCTGGAACAGATGCAGTAGCAGCATACTTTGTCTCTTTTGGCTCTGTGATTTTTAGCCCATCTCCTCCCTCTGGAGCTCGCTGTCAACTGAAACGCCAAGGACTTTGCTGTCAAGCTTGACTTAAACATTGAATTTCCTTGGTTTTTTTCTTCTCTCTGAGTGTTCGTTGTCTTGGCTCTGTTTGAGGTGATTGTATTGGACCCTTTATTTGGGATTAGTGGAATTAACTTAAGTTTGTCCTCTCCACACAGGTGAAGTCAGTGAAAACTGGCTCGGTCTTCTGGGCCATTGGCTGCTGCCTCTCGTACTTTTACATGGTGAGTTTTCATTGGATTTTTTTTTACCTTCAGGTGGTTTATGGCATTTAATTTCTATTAATGGTACGTGGTAATGCTATAGTAAATTACTTGGACAGCTTTTCCTGCCACTGTTTATAGGAAATTACACTGCCGTTCGAAAGTTTGGGGTTGGGGTTTTTTCCTGATAGAAATGATGCTCACCAAGGCTGCATTTATTGTTGAAACATATAGTAAAAACAGTAATGGTGTTAAATGTTATTACAATTTCAAATAACTATTTTCTATTTAATGTATTTTAAAATGTAATTTATTACTTTGATGGCAAAGATGAATTTTCAGCAGCCATCACTCTGGTCTTCAGTGTCACATGATCCTTCAGAAATCATTCAAATGTGCTGATTTGGTGCTCAGAAACATTTCTTTTCAATGTTGAAAATCTTTTGTAACTTTATAAATTTATTCTAAGTATTAATTTATTTTAAGAAAATGTACTTAGCCCAAACTTTTGAACGTAGTGTATAACATGACCAATGTAGTCCAATTTGGTATTAAGTGACTTGTGAATTTATTCTTTTTGCTGAATCAGTCAGAACGACTATCAAATGAGTTCAAACAAACCCATCAGTCTAAAACGGCCCATTTACCTTCTGAATCAATTGCGCGTTTTGGAATTAACATTTGATTCACTCACTGAACCGTAAGTCATTACTTGGGCTTATCAGTTGATTCATGAACTTTGTTTTACTTAAGGTTCATGAGGCGTAAAACAGTGTAATTGCTATGAAATTGTTACATAATATAAAGTTAAGTATCCATAATCATTAAGTGGAATCGTGAGCTGAACCAGAATCATTAAATTCTTATGATTTCTGTCCATAGTGTTGGATGTTCTGGGGCTGGTTGCACGTCTCTCTTGCTCTTTTTCAACCCATTAATGTGATATGTAAAATAAATGAAAAAGCAAACAGCGCCATCCATCATGCCACCCTGGTGGGGGCCACGCGCCAGTCGGTTATGAATATCAGCCATTTCTGAAACTTGAGATTCTTCCCCTGGAGGAAGGCAGCGCTCATTAATAATGGAAGCCTACAGCCCTGCCCAGCCCCCAATAGACTCTGGCTTTCCAAATGTCTTTATAAACATAAATGACACCAGTGTAATCGGAGCCATCTGCTCCATCGAGACCTTGGGGTCCAGTACAGTTCGATATGGCCCAGAGGCGCGAGTTGAGAGATGCTGTCTTGAACGGGACATCCTCAGTGACCTAGAAAAATGCAGAGGTTCCAAAGGCGTGTGCTAATGGAGTTTTCTGGTAAATGTGGTGTTATCATAAGGGTGAGAGCCAGCAGAGACCTGAGCGATATTATATATAACTTGGTCACGACACACTGCGTTTCTTTACCTTTAGTGTGTGGTTATTCAAACAGTGGTATATTTTACCTTTTTTATGATGTGTCACTATGCAAAATCCATTGATATAAATGGGAATAGTGCGCTGTCAAGATGAGAGGGATACCACAAATGTCTACAGTACAGTTTGCTGTATTTCTGCTTTATTTAAATTTAGAACGGCTCTTTCCATGCCATAAATGAGCCTACACATTCGTTCCAGTGAAACGCTCTGTCAAAGTGTCGTAGTGTGTAGGCAAACTAAAGCAGTCATAGGACACAACATACGGTCAAGATATATCTGTGTTAAAATTATTCTTAACTCAATCACGGGTGAGTGAAATCTAACAGTTTATTAGCCAATGGCTAATAACAGACATTTAGTTGCCTAGCACAAAATTGAATTGGTGCTGTTTTCTGAACTTGTAACAGTTTTGGGGTTTTGGGTTAAATAAACATATTTAGGGGAGCGTCATTTTACCAGCGTTGCCCAATACAGCTGTACTACACCATGTTACAGCACAGTAGCGCTATTGCAAACAGGAACAAGTATACTACATAGAAATTTCCTGTCCTGCTATTTGAGCGGACTTTGCTTTTACAGTGAGCATGAGCGGTATGAGTATGGTATGAGTGTTTGCATGGGTCGTGTGCAACTCAACAGAACGCACATTCATAGAGCAGAATATTGAGCGGAGCTTCACACCACGCAGTGACTGCTAGAGGGAGAGTAAAATCTGCACGCTGAACACTGCTGGGCGGTGCGGCGCGCCATACATTTTCGGCCCATATTTTCGCCCACTTTTCTCTTTTGCCCAAAAACTGAAAATGCCATTTTCGGCTGACAATTTTCAGTAGACGAAATTTCAGTGCATCCCTACAATACATTTTATTAAATGAAAAAAAAAAAAAACTTTAGTCGACGATGTCCCATCGTAACAAACCAAACTTAAACAAATGTATGTTTGCGAGGATTTAAAAAAAAAATAGTTTTTTACATTTTTACTAGGGGTGTAACGAGTCATTCGTTTTCTCGATGCATCGATTACAAACCCTGACGATGCATATGCATCGATCTTGAAACATGGATTTTTGAATTGTGAATCGCCGATTTCGGACCGCAATCGATTTAAAATGCTAAGAATCGAATTAATCGCGATTTCTATAGCAATTCAATGCTTTCAAAATATATACACATTAAATTACTACAAGCACGAATTAATGGAGACCTTGAACAGTGTTCAAGCCGTGCCCTCGCATCTCTCCTTCACGTGCTCCACTATTTACTGCCTGTGACTGTCACAGGATTGCGCTTGCGCTGAGTTCGTCTCACTGACACATTTTTTGAGCAGCTGATGTGTAATTTCTCTATGGTACTCATGGCCAGTAGTGCTAAAGTGAAGTAGTTTTACTTTTCTGTAGTTTTTCAATGGCTCTCGGTCATACCGACAACATTACCTGAGCAGTCGAAGGCTGCGCATTTATTGCATGGATGGAGCAAAAATGTAACGTTAAGTTTCTAAAGCATATGCACCGTTCCACTGAATGATAAATGTGTTTTAACAATGTCGTAGAACCGAATGTACCAAGGAAACTTAAAATAACCACAGCATTAACAACAACCAACAAAGTTTTCACACTGAAAGAGAAGTGATCTCGCGCTCATAGAACTTAAGACGTGCCAGGCTATATCTGCAGCTAATCTGAATGAAAAGCAGAATGAACGGGTGAAATGTTAAGACAATAAACACAATAAATAAATAAAATTTATGAATGATGCAGTGCTAATTGACATAATTTATTACAGTACAGACACTATAAAGTATATTTTCTAATTACAAATGATTGTCCAGCAGTGTATTTGATTTCTTATAGCAAATTCGAAGTAAGAGATAAGAAAAAAATTAAAAATTCCTAATAATACATACATACATAAAATTATTGTATTTGACATTTCTGTCAATTCTGAAATTATGGTTACGCCCCTGGGTGTGACAAAATGTTAGCCTATACATAATACTTTTAAAACTTTTTTTTTTATTTTTTTTTATCTTGGCTTACATAAATTTCTACATATGCCATGTCATGCCATAGCATCATTAAACTAGCATCTAACAATGGACAAGTGGTTTTTTTTTTTTTCTCTTAACCTATGGTTCTGTAACCATAAAGGCTGCTGTGTAATTTGCCCCCTGACTAGGCATTTAAAGAATTTAGGGAAAGCATTTAAATAATCCTGTGAATGCACTTAAAGAATGCAGAATCGAATCGTTAATCGAATCGAATCGAATTTAATTGTGAATAGAATCTAACTGAATCGTTCTGAATTGGCAAAAATCATTCTTGAATCGAATCTAAAACCTATGAATCGTGAATCAAATTGATTCACAATGTGAATAACTTAATATGCTTATGAAGATTAATATACACAACATAAACAAGCAAGACACCATGAAGAACTTTTTTTCATTGTTGTAACCTAAACCCCTGAAATAATAGCATTATAATTAATATATTGAAGTATTAGCTACTTACCTAAAACTATTGATTCCTAAACTGAGAATCATGATGCAGTATCATGAGGCAAAATATTGCAGTATGCGGTGTTTTATTGTGTGCCACATGACGTGTTTTGTGTTGCAGGTGTCTGCGTGGGGAGGATATGTCTTCATCATCAACCTGATTCCTCTCCATGTTTTTGTGCTGCTCCTTATGCAGCGCTTCAGCAGG